TTCGCGCCAGCCTCCCCCCAGCGGCGGGCGCGGCGGCTGCATTAAAAAATCCCAGCTGTGAGGAGAAATACGGAGGAAAACAGCTTTTCCGCCGTTTTCCGCCCTACCTGCCAATGGAGGCTCTGCCCTAGGGACCCCCGGGCGCGGATGGCAGCCTCCATGGCAGCGTGGTGGGCGGCTGCCCGGGGTCACCGTGCTCCTCCTCACGGCGGGGCGGCTTCGTGGGGCCGCGCTTTTTGCTCCAGCTGTTCTCTTACGAGCCCTTAATGGAGGAAGGTGAAGGTTTGCTTTACCGTAAGAGACTTCTCAGAGGACCTAAGTAGTCTCTTCTTCTTGGTACTTGTTCTTCACCCTCCCTCGCCCACGTTTACTTTAGCTTAAGGAGAAAGAAGAGTTTACTTTTCCATGTACAATCATTTATTTGCTCCTGAGGCTTGCTCCTACCCACCTTCCCTAACACTAAGAGACATTGTTATGTTTCATATTTCTGGCATCAGTTTATCATGCAGCTAAAGGTTTGACCCCCAGGTGTTCAATCAACTTTAATTACACACAGTAGTCAATAACTGGCAAAACAAAGGTAGTCTTTAAAAAAACAAAACAAACCCAACCAATCACATGTAGGATATTTAACTGTACCTCTTGCACAGATGTTTGAAAGCCTCGAGAAAGCTAAAATGTATATGACCTTGTTAATTTATTGGTTCCTTTACCACATCAAATTAGAGGTAGTTGCTTTTTCTTTTGTGTTTTTTAACTGTGGGGAGGATGAAGGCAGGAGTAAAAGAACATGACCTGGACGCTGGAACAGGGTGCACCATTGCCACACCACGTAACACACACATCCTCAAAAGAAGCCGACACCAGCACATGTCTGGTATTCACTTGTCCCAGACCAGCTGCAGATCAAGAACCATAAGACAAATCAGACCCTATTTCAAATAGCAAATTGAGGAAAACTGCAATCTGTTTATAAACACTTCACTAACAGTCAAATTCAATCCAAAATATTATTATGGAGAATGAACTGGTCATCTTGGTGGACTTGGCAGCGTTAGGTTTGTGGTTGGACTCGATGATCTTACAGGTCTTTTCCAATCTAAATGATTCTATGATTCTATCAGCAAGTTCACAGATGATACAAAAGTGGGAGGAGTGGCTGACACACCAGAGGGTGGTGCTGCCTTTCAAAAGGACCTCACCAGGCAGGAGAATTGGTCTGACAGGAACCTCATGAAGTTCAACAAGGGGCAATACAAAGTCTTGCACCTGGGGAGGGGTAACCCCAGGCCCCAGGACATGCTGGTGGCCTACCGACTGGAAAGCACCTCTGCGGAGAATGGAGTCTCCAGCTGTGGAGATACTCAAAAGCCAAGTGGACATGGACCTGGGCACCTGGCTCTGGGTGGTCCTGCTTGAGCAGGGAGGTGGGTCCCTTCCCACCTCTGCCATTCTGTGGTTCTGAGCACAGGCCCCAGAACTCCAGAGAAGGGGTGGTGGAACCCCGCTCCTGAAATTTCAGTTCTGTTCCCTACCCGTTATATCCTGGTTATATTGGCCAAGTCTGAGAAGATTTCTTATATGTGGAAAACAAAAAAAAAACAAACCCAAACCCTGCATTAATCTGTTGGCAAAGATTAAAATCAATGTCTAACACCTGCTTCCCATTGGTTGATACAATAGGTTGCCTCCTCATGTGGGATTAACTCCCAATTTGCAAGAAGGTGTGTCTCCTGTGCTGCCTGAATGCTAACAATCACGGACAGATGACAACTACTGTATGCCCATACGGTTCATACATTAAAAAAAAAAAAGCCATTAAGCACAGTTACCATAACAAGCAAACAAATCCTGGGAAGAGCAGACTGCTTGCCACTTAAGAGTTCGTATGTAGAGCTATAGTTTCTTGGTTTTCTCTTAAGCATCTCATCCTTCAAATTAGTTCTCAATTTCAAGTATACTGAAGTAGGTTCACACGGAGGCAGCATTGAGCAGTTTAACATGTTCTTTCACTTCTGTAAAGTTTGTATTTTCACACAAAAATTGCTGTGGAAGCATGCTGTAGATCAGATCTTTATGTCACTTAATAAAAAAGGCAGAAATAATGAAGCTTATTTTCTTACCTTACAATTTATGTATCATGTCTTACCTTAGAAATAAAAGGGGGAAAACAGAAGGATCAGCAATGCATTCTTGAATTTTTTTTTTTTCCCCCCAAATGCTTACACTGAAAGCTTCTCATCTGCCATTTTATTGCACTAGACCATGATTCTGATGTCATAAAAGTCAGGAAACATTCAGCACTTTACCCTTGCAGAACACACGTTCTTCTGTGGCAGGAACAGAGTTACACAGTGTCCTGGTTTCATCCGGGATAGAGTTAATTTTCTTCCTAGTAGCTGGTATAGTGCTGTGTTTTGGATTTAGTATGAGAATAATGTTGATAACACACTGGTGTTTTAGTTGTTGCTAAGTAGTGCTTACACCAAGTCAAGAACTTGTCAGCTTCTCATGCTCTACTGACTGGCTGTACACCTAAGATAAGGAAAGGCGGGGTTTCCTAGGATAGCAGGAAGGTTTAGGCATAGGTAGGCGGGAGATACACAAGAAGCTGGGAGGGAGCACAGCCAGGGCAGCTGACCCAAACTGGCCAAAGGGATATTCCAACAACTATTTAAGAATACCACTCAGAGATCTACCCCGAGGCTGGATAGTTAGGAGTGGCAGAGTACCTAGGACAGTGGGCACCTCCAGTGTTTTGGAGCTTTACCCCGAATAAGTGCAGAATCCTGAAAAATTAGTGAAATATTTAGAAAAAGTATGCTGTCACCCTGGCAATTCCAGAGACATGAATCACTGCAACATGCTGAGGCCTGGCCCATGCCTACCGAGCCCTGTTCAACACTATTCAGTAGCCTCAAGGGGAAGAGAAGGTCTCTAGATCCGACGACAAAATGAGTGGCGCTGCGGCTAGGCCACGCCCGGGGGCTCGCACGACCACACACCACTCGTAAACAAGACAGTAAACACCCAATCCCTATCCCTGAGCGAGCTGCAAGATATGCGAAGAGATTTCAGCTGTTGTCCAGGCAAGCACGTTGTCACCTGGCTGCTGCGATGCTGGGATAACAGGGCCAGGAGCCTGGAATTAGAGGGTAGGGAAGCCAAGCAGCTGGGATCCCTTTCTAGGGAAGGGGGCATTGACAAAGCGATTGGAAAAGGGGCACAAGCCCTCAGCCTCTGGAGGTGACTCCTGTCAGGCGTGAAGGAAAGATATCCCTTCAAGGAAGATGTTGTATGTCACCCAGGCAAGTGGGCCACCATGGAGAGAGGTATCCAGTACCTGAGGGAATTAGCCGTGCTGGAAATGATTTATAGTGACCTGGACAACGAGCAGTTATCCAAAGATCCAGATGAAATCCAGTACACACGACCCATATGGCAGAAGTTTGTATGGAGCATACCATTGTTGTATGCCAACTCGTTGGCAATACTGACCCGGAAAGATGGAGAGGAACCAACAGTGGATGAATTGGCTGGCCAGCTCCGGGAATATGAAGAAAATCTCTCTTCCTCCCTCATCTCAGCTGTGGAGAAACTGTCCTGGGAGGTCCAGCAACACAAAGAGGATAGGTCCTACTCCCCACTTGTACAGATCAGTATCTCAGCTATTAGGCGTAAATGTTCCTCTGCTCAAGAGGGAGGATATAGAGGGTACACACCATGGGGCACCCTGTGGTGTCACCTGCGTGACCACGGAGATGACACACAGAAACATACATAACATGTTTGTGTTATACATCTTGTAACGGCCATTAACACCCACACCAGTGTTCACTATTACTGTCTAACACTCTTGAACAAATCACAGATTTCTCATATATAAAGTTTAATGAAAGACAAATAAAATCCAATTCCTGTTTTAAAAATTAAATATTGTAATAAGGATATTTTCTTAAATCAGACTTGCATTTCAAATAAAATCTCAGCTACAAAGATCAATAAATACAGAGCTGCAAAGCAGAAAATCACATCAGTTTCAATAAGGTATCACTTCTTACAGCTGCAAAGCTGTGTTGTCTCAACCAGAAGGCTCCCAAATTTTTTGAAACATTTCTATACTTTAAATTCCTCAAATGAACTACAATGCCAAAAACCACATCTCATCATCTTTTCATGAAAGATTTCTGGTTTTAAAAGCATGGGTCCCACATCTCTTTTAGAAGTAAAATCTGTTATGGCACTGTGATAATGTCAATATAAAATACGCTTTCCACTCCTCAAGGATGATGAAGTACATGCTAGTCTCACACAGAATCGCTTGGGCTAGCAGACTTATGGGATGAGTCAAGCAGCGATACCATGTGTCAGTTTGTCCTACAGCAGCTTAAAGCAAGCCTGTGGGCACCGCAGACAAATCTCACACCTCAGTAAGCGCCAGCACCCGCAGTGCATCAACTACCCTGGCAGGCTGCAGTTCAGCGTGCTTCATTGCTGCAGGTCCATCCGTCCATTCCAGATGTAATGATTATGTCTCAAGAAAGTTTATCACAGCGGCTCTTTTCACATAGTCTGAAGCTGATAAACTCTTGAACCTTTTTTCAAAAGATAACCCTGATCATTTAGGGATCCAATAAAGCTTTCAAAATCAGACACCTGGGAGAAAAAAAGAAAAAGATAAATATAAATATCAAGTTGGAAGAATGACATTTTATCTGATGTAAAGCAACATAAACAGTTTGAAAGAACTTAATGAAATAAAGTGAGCTAAGAATAGGTTAGTTTCCTTAGCAAACGGCTGACCTACTAGGAGGTGGCATACAGTCAGTTGCACCCTTTTGTGCTTTATTTACGCACTTTATGACATGCAGAAAAAATAGAGTAACCTATGTATAAATCTGAGTTCTGAAACACAAGTATCCAGCAAAGAAAAGTCCGATTTCTACAGCTCTCACTGATTTCCAAGTATTTGTTACAGGTATAGAACTTTGGGCAAAAAATATTCTATATATAAAGGGAAAATTAGAATTAATTGAATTAGCTATAGGTAACTAGTCGCTGCATCAATGAATGATCATGCGATAAGAGAGCTGGCAATAACATGTTCTGTCAGACAGGATTACGTATAGTCAACATTTGAACAAGTTTGGAGACTGAAGCCGTCTCGCCCCAGCAGGCCAAAGTAGGTTAACCAGGTAATAGAGAGAACAGCATTATTGCCCTTAAGTTCCATAAAGAGAAATTGTCACTACTTTTCACTCATTACACCTGAAATCCAGTTTTAAGTTTTAAATTAGCATTTAAAGCTTTTTATCATGAAGCAAAAAGTAGAATTAGCTATCGATATTTTTGTCTGGCTGAAGTCCCCCACAAGTACAGAATGCAAATCAATTACAGAATAAACCACATCTGTGGCCATCTGTCCTACATGATGTTCCTATCAAGTTACGATATTAGGATGCTTGAAGCAG